GGCTAGAATGGGGACCTTATTTGAGGGGATGGATCTTTTTCAGAAATATCTATCAAAGATGGCACTGTTGTTTTTTATTTCCTTGCATAACAATAAGAAGGGACAAAGCTAATCAAGCACGGTGTATCTTAGATACCAACCATGTGTCTAATTGAAGCTGCACATGGCCATATGGGCATGTGCGAAAAATAGAATGTCCAACAACTACATAAGGATTCAAGCGGCACGTGGAAAAATAAAATATTTCCAACATCACTGCCAGTCTGGTAGGCAGTGACTATGCAGCTCATCAAGTGGAGGATTTATCTCAAAGCAATTTTGACAATTCATACAAAATTCTGCTATGAAAGAAAATTTACCAAGCAGTGTAGTAAGGCAAAATAATTTTTTAAGTGTATGAAGAAATCACAGACCTTATCATTACAGGATCAGAAGCTGAAAAACAAAGTGCATGAGAGTTGCTCCTCCTCTCTCTACATTGGTGATGTTCAGAGGCAGCCTGTTATTGGAGGTGTTAATTGGCAAATTCAGTACAAGTCAAGAGCATGTTCCCTGTCGTCCTCGCCCAGCAAGGCTAGGTCATTAAACCGAGAATGGATTCTTTCATGCTGCCTTAACCCTTGAATTGCGAGTTACCATTCCGCAAACATCCCCATGCTCCATCCCACCCCCATGTGTCAAGAAGAAAAAACAACCTACACTGATTCAACAGCGACAATAAAATAACAAGGAGAATGACATCTTGAGAGCCAGGCTTTCAGTCGAACAATTATTTCAAATTGGCAGCCAAATGTCTTTAAAAAGTTCAGAAGTTTACAAATGTCCAACACTCCAAACCTCCTCAAGTAAACAAAAAAAGTAGTCGTTGCTGTGGTGGCTGAACAATGGGATTTTAAGAACAATGGCATCATCCGGACTCCACCGATCAGTGCTTTTTTTGCGTTCTGTGTATTGAACGAGTCCATGAAATGTTGAGTCTCCTTTGGGGTTCTGGGTGCGATCTCACCACTGCCTCTGTCATCACTTGCTGTGACTGCCAAATCTCTGCTCCAGAAATCAGGGCTCTCAGACCAGCACTGAAACAAACACAATGGAGAGGGGCCGTTCTGAGACTTTGCACAGGCAGCGATGTCTTCAACACATTTAATCGAACACAAAGTCAGCTCCACCACTTCTGCACAGAGAGCACGAGGAGCCCAACGCATGGCAAGACAACTGTGAGGTGATACTCTCAGCTCGCAACGCCATGAGAGTTGGCAGTCTCTCATGCCAATGGTGACCAGTGCACAGACAGCTGAATATGCTTCTCTCCTAAGTTGTTAATTATCGAAATGACATTGATGTGAAGAGGGCATTCTAGCCAGGTGACCTTAATCCACTTGCTATCCCTCTGTTTTGTTTCCATTTGATTAAACCCTTTACCAATCTCTTTTTTTCCCACTTGTGTTATATCTTCATGGCAATGACACGATCTGACAAACATTGTTGAGTAATTGTTGAAAATAATGACTTAGTGAAATGGTGCTTCATCTGTCTATTGTCTGTTGCAATTACAATCCAATTACGGGCCAATAAAGAAAAGAAATTGTTTGTTTATATGTTGATATTATTGTTGTCAAGTTATGATATTTAATTTCTTAATATCAATTAACGTCAGAAACCAGTCATATGCAGATGATGTCTACAGGAACACAAGAACTACTGCTGGTCATTGTGAATCCAAAATTACAGTATATTTTAATATACAGTGTAAAAAATGGCAATAGGTGTATGGAGCAAAATTATAGGAAAAAACAAAAAATAAGCTAAGCTTTTTCACTGTTTAGCTCAGAATTTTAGGCCTGGTTTTACAGCTGTGTCTACAACCATTATGGAGGTAAACAAACCTTCATTAGAAAAGAACAGTAATTATTGTCCAGTGTGAGTCAAAAGGCCTGCCACACAGTTTGGTAGTAAAACTGGGTTTCACTGTTGTAGTTAGATTTTAGATTTTCCTAACCTTTTGTGCACAACTGGATTATGGATTGTAAATTTAATGTGATAGTGGTTTTCAATAATCAACACTGTTTTAGACTGTGGTTATGAAAACGTATTATTACTTCACAGAATAATTTTACAGTCTAGATTTTAATCCCTGCTCAGAAACAGAAATGCATGGCTGTGTTCTCCATCATTGTACACTATTGTTGTGTACAGCCCTGCTTGTAGCCATACATGACAGTTCCACTCTGAACACAGCTGAGTATAACTGCAAACAAAGCAAGTAACATCCTAAGAGATGTGCTGCATACATACAAACTAGATTCATTATCTTCATCATATTTCATCATATAATAATGCTGAATCTGATTTGTATTTTTTCTATTAATGGGTTTGCAGAACTTGTTCAAAAGCTGTGACAATGAAGTATATCTTTTGAAAATATTGTTTTAATGCCCTAACACTGTTATTTTTGTCCTTTTTCCTGTTTATATAGCCTGTTCATGCCCCTTTTATTATGCTTTTACTGCTCACTTTTCTCAGTTTTGATTCTCTGCCATTGTTCATATTCATTATTTTTAACTATTTGCATTTGTTAAGTGTCATGGACATTTGGATATACACTGTAGTAGGCATTAAAATTACACAATCACTGTAATCTGTAATCTTAATCTCGATTTTTCTTTATTACGTTACCACATGTATATTCTGCATTGCACCATAGTGACCTATTATTCCACTCAAACCACTTAAAAAACAGTCCAGTACAGTCAGTTCATCTTGCAAGTACAAGCTGATAACACAGGCCACACAGACCAGTCTCTGCAAAGGATAACCTGCAAGCTCAAATAAGTGGTGGAAGAGTGCCAGCAGCTATACTGTGCGTCAGTTTCCTCTCCTATCTGCTTGAAAATGACTGTGGTCCCTTGAAGCCGGCAACTTCCCTGTCTCCCCGAACTCTCTGCAGCACCGACTGGTGGTGCAGAAGCACTGCTGATTAGCATGCAGTAATGATGGTGAGCTGGGCTCCATTGTTCTAACACCTCCCCTCTCCTCCGCACCAATCTGTCACCATTCAGTGGGCTAGAGCTGCCTCAAATGCTTCTCTCCACAAATGAGATGGATAATTAGTTGCCCCTCACGAATGCTGCACTCTTCTCACCCCTGATTGCTTTCACCTTCTTGCTCCTGGCAATTTTGACACCTTGTAATCAGCCTGCTACTTCTCCATCTCAATCCATATCTTTTTCCTTTTTTTGTCCTCTTTCATTTTTGTGGCTCTTAAATCTATTTCAGATCTACTGCCTCTGGTAGCAAATGTCCCAAGGAGAAGAATGGCACATGTCTCTCATATTCTACTGGAAATGATGGCAATAACAATGCCTTAGAGGTAAAGAGGAGTTTTCTCAAACTGTTCATATTACTGTATACACAAGTGAGTAAATATACGGTGTACAGAAATACACACAGAAAAAAAACTATCTGTCAGTACCAGTTTCTTCTTCCAAATAACAATGAATGACAACATAATTATGAGCAAGCAGCTGTTCATGATCCCAGAGAGAAAAGCATGCAGGCTGCACAATGTTCAACTCTTCACAGATTAACCAGAGAAGATCATTAGGGATGTGTATTTGCCAAAAAAATCTGAATACATCCTCCCCTCAGTGTTCATGATGTGATGTGACATATAAAATGATGTGATTTCTGTCACTCAAAAATTAACATGCATTATGTTTAGCACATTATATTAGATGAGTATCTAATATTCACCTTTGTAAATACACCAGATGACATGTATGATGACCCTTTTCCCTCACGTAGATGACGTGTTTTAGTCACGCTCTTCTATCTTAGTCTAATGACTCACTAGTTGGGAATAGTTGATAGCATTACTACATCGCAGATTTTACACCCTTCTGAGCTATTTATGAAACACAGTAAAACCTTCAGCGCCAAGTACCAGTTAAGCTTGAGATAAATCAATCAGTCTAATAAGCAGTATTTGATTAGGAGAAGTGAGTTATATTACCCAAACACTTGTAAAGAGGGAAAAAAATGACTGTTTGCAGTCTTCACACCAGCTCATCTACCCAGCACAAGTGTTACCAGCCCATAGCTGAAGAGCTGCAAGGTCCTCTCTGCACAACCAACGTGTTCCAACACAAAGTGTCCCTGTTTCCTCAAACATAATCACACTGAATGGTGAAAATCACTGCAATTGTTCGCAAAGGTGTGAATAAATAATGTAGAAGTAAGTCAAAAGCTGATGCTGCTATTAAGAAAATACTCAGATTTAGTTAAATGTTACATACTGTACATACTGTAAAATATCATACTGACTGAAACATCACCAATTTCCAAATTACAATTGCCTGGATTTCACTGTTCAGTTTCTTTAACATTTTGTGAAATGATCATATTTTCCCATTATTATTCATATCTATAATGTAACTAGAATGTCTCATTTTATTATATTTTATAAAAACATATCATGTAAATTTATCCATTAAAATAAATGTTAATATAAGTACAGTATAATATTGCCTAAGATAAACTGTTACACAAATACACAAATAGCAAGATAATTGGGCATCTAATTGAACAATGAGCTTGTGCCTAATGTTATGTGTTGCCATCTGTGTGGAGAATTTTAATGAACACATGGCATTCTAACTTTTAAAATGATCCAAAGTTGGACATAACATAAACACATAAAAAGGAGGAAAGGTGTCTCATTTCAGCAGAAATTAATGCAACTATCAGTTTACTGAGCAAATCTTCATCATTTGTCTAAGACTTAATGTCTCTCTAAAAGGAAATTGTTGCATGTTATTAAAACAAATGATGCTTTAAAATAAAACTGTATAACTATGTTAAATAAAGTTAATAAATACACATCTTGACCACCTTATGTATGTATTTATGTATATATGTATGTATGTATGGATACATACAGTATTCCAACCTTTTCCTTTTCATTTGCATGTTTAAAACGATTTCAAATGATTTAAAAAATCTTGCAAGAGTAAATGTCGGCTTTATTTGCTAATATATACCATATGATGCATCATCGTCACTTAGTAGGTAAAATCTCAGCGTGATATTAGAAAAATATAATAGGCATGAAAGTGTACCATTCAATTCTTCAAATTAAATAAATGGGTTCAAGTCTTATTGCAGTGTCATTTCAAATCCAGTATAGCGCATATAATTCATGGCATGCAGGACTACACCATGAATACAGTAAGTCTTGGAGTAGTTGCGGCCTTGGCCCGTCAGTCTCTGCTTCCACTGTCAATTGTCGGATTCATTCTTAGGCCAGCAATGCGAGTAGAGGTGGCTGTTCATTCGGTCCTGAGGAACCACAGCGTGGCAGAAAGCACACTTATCAGGACTGCTGCTCTGAGGCGCCGCCAGCTCTGTCCCCGCGTCAACTGCATCAGACAGCTCAGGGCTCCAGAGAGGCTGCAGAGCAGGATGAACCAAAGAAAACAATATATTATTCATGCTCTAAACAATCCTTACACTCACTCTATTAAAGCAGGCTGGACCACTTGGCCTTCACGTTGAAGTATCTGTTGCTTTAAGAATTATGTCCTCTATCTACCGAGTGTTTAATCATCTTACTATTTATGTGTTCATCCAAACTATCAAAACAGTCTTGCCTATAATAAATGCCCACGTTGATGTAATCCAGGCAAAAGAATCATATTATAAAAAACTGGACCAACTTTTAGATCTTACCGCATATCATTCACAATATTTTTATTAGGCATTTATACACATCAGCAAATAAAATCCAACTTAACCATCATACTTGTTTCATCAGATTCAGACACTGTAATGTGCTTCCATCTGGCTCACACTTTCCAGCAAAGATGCCAAATATAACCAGAGCATCCATGCTTAAGTAAAAAAAGATTCAGCACACATTACACAGTAATACGTTTCAAATTAAGCCAAGGGGATTTTTTTTTTTGGACTTCACACCGTTTCACTCCACCATTAGCAAAGACCAATCAGAAACTGATAATTTGCTACTAGTTTTCTCAGACCTTCTCCTGTGATTCTCACCTGCTGGGGTCCCCGCACACTCTCCTGGGAGAGCGAGGGTGATGTTGAGTGGGAGGGGGATGTAGGGTAAACAAAAGGCATGGGCAGTTCCACGGGCTCCTCCTCTGCCAGTGTGGAGGGGACAGTAATGAGAGGCTGCTTCATGGGCATGGTCAGACCAATGTGTCCCTCTGGAGCACTGTTCAGGAAGTCATATTCACTGTCCGCAGAGGGCGGGAATTTGACACTGAGTTTGGTAAAAGAGTCTACTAAGTCCCTGTCCTCGGGGCTGGCACCACGGGATGCCAGAGACGTGGGCGGGAGTGGGATATCCACTGCTGACCTTAGCGCTGAGGAAAAGGGTGTCTCTGCCTCTTCTGTACGGTCTGTGCACTGGATGGGCATGGAGAACCGCTGATCTGTCAGACGGCAGAAAAACATGCAATTTTACACACTTGTCTCACGCAACATGTTGATGTATTCCAGCGCTGGCTTTAAGGACGTTTGAGCTTGGCAATGATTTGAGAAGTTGGACACTTTCAAATATAATTTAGGTCTTTTCAATACGTATATAACAGGAGAACATATTTATCAGACATTGTATTAACACAATTATTCATATACTAAATATGAATAATTGTGCTAATATTATTGGTTATACAGCTAATATCCAGAGCCAGCATCATGCATTTGTCAGTGGAATTATAAATGTGTATATCCATGCTATGCACAGAGGTGGCCAGCCGTGGTTTGAAAGGGCAATGAGGCATTCAAGTAGTTAAAGGTAGGGCAGGCAGGGTGCGAGCAGGTAGGTAGACAGGTAGGCCTTATTACAGTCCTGCGTCATTTTTGTGTTAGAGCATTTGATATATTGATTGCTGTCGGGAGGTAAAGAGAATTAATTAAAATAAATTGCCTACCCTAGCTTTAAGGTATCAAATTATCTTATAGAACAATGCAAAAGCTAGTAAACCCATAAGCTGTTATGACAGAGACAAACCTATTTCAATTCAACACAAGTAAGTGAGGAAAGAAAACAAGTGGATTTAAGTTCAGGCATTAAAAAATGGTAGGTAATATTTTACCATATTACCATTTGATGTTTCATTTCCAGCATGGAATCTTTTTAGGTGATCTTTCTGTCTTCTGGTTAGAGACCTAATCTGCCGGAATTTCCCTTGAATTGCTTCAAATGCATCCAGCATGTCCTGACTGACAAACAAATAAATGAAGAGTGAGAAAAGAAATACACACACACACACACACACACATATAGTCTTTGTACAAGGAGAGACACATACTAGTCAACGCTGCTGCTGACTGGAATAAGAGGAGCAACACTGCCCATATTCTCCTGGGAAAAAAAAGACACATTACATTTATATTATTTATTAGCAACAATTAATCCAAGAGCATATAGAAAATACATCTGGTGTTTTATTTTTCATCACAAATGTATATTCACTGGTGAACAATATTTCCAGGCCCTGCTAAATAATAAACAGCAACGCTCAAGCCGCTGATCTGTGCAGTGATACTATCCTCTAGCACCATCTGGTGAAGAAAGGTGGCTACACCTTGTGTGGCATAAAATAGAAAGGGTGGATACTATACACAGCAGCAATGTAACATCTTATGTCTCCTCTAATGCTTGAATCTTTGGACAACAAATGAATGCAAGCATGACAAAACGATGAAAACCTATGGACATCCCCTTCTGAGCAAATGACAAGGAGATCACTTCTCATAAATATCATGTAATTATCTGCAAACTGCTTTAGTGCTGTGTAAACAAGGGTTTGAAACACTGAATAAATAATTGCATTTGCAGGCTGACTGAGAAATAAAAATTCTTAAATGGATGATGGTGAGATCTTACACTCACTCACAAAGACAGTGCTCAGAACTTGTCTGACAGGGTCAATCACATAATGATCTGTTCATTTTCAATCAGTGTCCCTTTAACATCCTTGTTTACACAAGTGCTACAACATCAGGCAGTACTATCAGCTTGTGTTTTTTGTATGTAAGAGGAAGCTGTATGTTTGCTTATGCGGAATTTCATGTGTGAGTATGAAGAGGATGGGGCCATCATATTGCAGTTTTCACATAGTGTAGCTGTAGCGAACATACCAGGTACTGTATTTTCCTATAAGCGCTGGCCCCATCAAGGAGATGGTTGCAAGGCTCACATTTCATCTCTCCTTAGAATCCAAAACAGTGAAAATTAACAGTTTATACAGGAGGCAATGCTGGATGAAACAGACACATTACAAAATCCATTACAATATGTTGTCAATTTCAATGCCCAGAATGCAATGCAATGCAAGAGTACATTATGGTGGCGACACACAAGCAGAGAGATGATCTGGCACGTCTCACTAACCTGATGGTTGCCTTGTTGCCGATAACTTAGCTTCAAGTTTTGAAATCAACTGCTGCTGGTCCTCTATCTGCTTTTGAAGTTTTTGAGTGTATCGCTCATAATATTCAGTCTGTGAAAAATTAGGTCTCTGTTAATTTTGTAAACACCATTATTTGCAGTCTTACGTTATGCCTATATGTGTCACATGTAAAACTAAAAATCATGTTAAAAAAACAAGACCTCTTGCTGTTTGACTGTTAACAAAACTATAAAGAAAAACCACGCTTTCAGTATATTAGTTAAAAAACATTTCTCGTGAAACCGGCAATGCAAGCTACTATGTGACTTACTGTTTTGTGCTACAACGTTTGGCTCATTTCATGCAAACTTTGCAAAAGTTGCTCTCCTCATATCCTTACCATTTGCTGCAGCTCCTTTTTAGCATTGTCCTTTTCAATGGAGACCTGGCGATAAGCTTCAAAAGCTTTGTTGAGCTGGTCTCCGATGTTCCTTTCCATGCCGTGTGCTCCACAATCATCACTGACACAGCAGACATGAGCCCTGTGAGTGAAATCCCCAAATGTTTTGATCCACTCCAAAGACACACACTGGCAAAGACAGCACTTTATTTGACTAGTGAAAAAAGCATGGCGATAGTGCCCCTTTTTGCTTGTTTTATAATGTTTCCCAACACACACAACAGTCCATTTGTCTTAAAAAACTAATAAAAAGAAGGTCAGTAACTATTTAAAGTGGTGTGAAATGATTTGGTTGATTTAAGTAAGCTACTGCTGCAATGACAAAACTGAGAAAACACACTTCCTAATCTGTATTTATTGCCAAACAATACTGGCAGTTCCGGTGGAATATATCATCTTACATGCAAAAGCAAAATTGTATTCAACAATCGATGCCTTGTTCTAGTTCTGAGAAATAATGTGCTGTAGGCTGATTTTTTTTTAATCAGCAGCTGAGGCATTGAAAAGGTAATGACAAATAAATACAATTACTCAATGCATTTGCAATTTCTTGCATAACTCTTATAAGACCACTGACCTAACCAATCCTAAAAAAAAATTATTTTCAGGTCCAGTATCAGCACGGAGTATCAAACAACTTCTGAGCAATGTGGGAACAATTGCAGCACCATACTTACTGTTGTAATAGTTAACATGGACGCGTTGAGATGATGCAAAACAAAAAATAGGCTGGTGTCAGTTTCACCCAGTGCTGCTCGTCAATTATTTATCAATCTTCATTATAAATGTCATAGTAACGCACTACCTGTCAGTGACACTACACACTGAGGGCTCCTGGATGAATCCACAGCAAAGCCTACAGGCTGCGTTAGAAAGGGAGAGACACACTAACGTTGGAGCTCGCCGACACACAACAGTGGAGCGCTTTAAAAGTGTCATTCAAAACCTAATCCGCAAAGTTCCGTATTCTTTAAACCGTAACTGACCGGTTAGCAGTGGCTCATTCAACCGGTGGTGGATAAAGCGACCGAGCAACAACTCCACAGGTCAGTTACCCTCGCCGCCAGTGACTGAGTGTCCTCTTACCTTCATTCGAGTAAATGTTAGAGCCGAATTTTTTGTTTTGACACCACCGCAGCTTCGTCGCCTAATCTTCAGATGCAAAGTTACGAAGCGCAGGAGAGGATATGGCTCTGTATGTTTTACATAGCCTACTTGAGTTGGGAACTTCCCTCGGGGAATCCCCTGCTCTGTAGACTTCCGCCTTTACTCGATACTGGCCAATCAGCGCGGAGCTCGGAGGAGCGCTGGGTGGTTAGCTGGTTAAGGGTTCTTCCAGCCTACGCGTCTGCAAACCGACTGTTGTGCATGTGAAAACTGTCCCCAAACTAGATTATACTGTGCTTTGCTCTCCAACATTTTTCTTACTTTATTGAACGTTTAACAAGGTATGTCGAAAGGGGAGATTGCCTGAGCACTTCCGTGTTAAGGGGGCCCATGGCCCGAAAATGTGCTGTTGGTCCCCTATTGTGGTAATTTTATTAAACACCACTTTATTTTGGAATATGTACCTTCGTGCAATTAATTAAATAACATAAAAGCAATGGAAATGCTGAGTATGGGAATTGGGGGCCTTAGAATGTTTATGTGGTAGCAGGCAATTCAAGTCTATTTGTAAAGCACCTTTCAAAAACAAGGTAATTCAAAGTGCTTTAGGTCTATATAAGACATGAAGACAAGATATAACATATATCAACTTGTACATTATATACTATCTTTGTCCCTAAACATTGGAATAGTTTATCTCTAAATTTTAGATCGCCCAACTGAAATAAAAGATTAAAAAAACAACTTCTTAAGAGTCACACATTTAGGCTACTCACTTTTTGCTTTTGTTGATGTTATTTCTGTTTTGGAAATATGCTAGTGAAAAATCTCAAGGCCTTTTTCACAGAAGACATTTTGACATGTCATACTGTAATAGGAAAACCATAGGTGTAAATAAAATATATGATGGCTTAATTTCATTTAGCTGCTTCAGCTTCAGGGTCTGGTGTTGTGCATGCTGACTCACTGTCACAGTGTCACGGTTTACTTGGACCTTTGAATATAACAGAGCTTTTGTTAATGTAATTAGTAACACCTGTGCTTTTCCTGCAAATGATGAACCAAAAATGTCTGCTGCAAAAAAGGCCTAGGTTTAAAAAGATTTTTAATACTCACTAATGTATCCCTTGTTACCCCGAACGGGTTTTGTTTTATGTTATGTTTTGGAAATGTACATCTTTCGTGATTGGATTATAGGATTGGGTCTTACAGGTTATATCTTGGCCAATACATTCTGATTTCAAATAATTCTAATAAAAATGTATGGGCATTCATTTTTTTACAATGACCTTCCATGTGTTGTGAAGCCCACATAATTGATTATTTCTTCTGTATTCTGTGCACATGTGACATAGCTGGCCACGGGGCTTAGTATAAATATTGGTAATTTAAAGCTGCAGTTGGTAAAAACTAAACATGCAATGCAAAACCTTCCACGTGTGTCTCTCCGCTCTCTGTAGCTTTTAATTAAGCAAATGTATGAATGAGACTAATCACGGATGAGAGATGCCACACCCCAATGCATATGCAGAATTGTTAAGAATATCTCCCACATACTCTTTATAAAGACACTTAGGTTTTCCCATACAATGTAAGCACAACCGTCCAGGCAAGATTTGGTCATCTGTTCCACAGTACTCCTTGAAAAACACCTCTATGAAGAGAAAACTGCAAAAATCCACAATTCCTAGCGTTGATGGGTTATTTCTAGAAAACTTTAGTTGGCTTCCACCTCACAAAATTGACAGTGAGCTGTGATAACAGGTTAGCTAGTAAAACATGAGTTAGGTACAGAGCAGGACTTCTGCACAGAGGAGCCCAAAACCTAAGCTCCTCTTTCTGCAAATGTGCAAACCACAAGACAAATATTTAGTGAAAAATAATATATCAAGTAAATTCTTGACAAAACAACTTACATGTGCTTTCAGTGAGCTTACCTTGAATGTTCATCAACAAACATTACCAGTGTGCTTTGCTGAGCTAAGGTTCCCCCCTGGTGATATTTATCATTTAAAAGGTCATTTGTAGCCACGATTTATACCACATCGGATCCGGTTCGTATGTTGTGGCCAAGACTCAATATCATGTGATGTTATGGCCTCCTTATGCTCCCTCCAACTCACTTCTGAAAACCTGTTCAGGGCCAAACATGAAATGCCCAAATGACAAAGAAATGCTGAATTATGATGATAGAATATTTAGCTGTGAAAAATTGGGTCACAGCCACAGCACATTGCTGTACATGGTTGCACTTCATCTTGCAGCATTGGTTTTCATTTGGCATTGATATAGATTGCTAACTTTATGTTTATTTTTGGACAAAAACATTCATACATACAATACTGCAGTAGCTTAATTTACCCAGACAGGGCTTTTTTTCTGGCTCTGTATTTTCATTATGATTTTTATACATTCTTTTCACTTCTTTTAAAACCCAGTGTGCTAAAACAAATAATAAAATAATAAAGTCACACCCTTATTTTAAAATAATAAAATAAGGGGTGAATGTCTCACTGCTTTCTTAATGCCTTGAATGTAAATTTGTAATTTATACATGCATCCTTTCTTTTTCGGCATGAACAGTAAGTGAATAATGATGCAATGCTCCAGCCTTGTGACAGAAGGGTTAAAGCCCTTCCTGTTTCCATACAACTAATGCTTATACATTTCACCAGACCTCCTCCATGCTTTAGGTTTTACTTTGTAATGTGTATCCACTCTGATCTTGACTAGATGTGTAGCCGATGCACCTGTGTGCCACAGAGAGAACACTCTCCCCAGCAAAGGGCAATCCAAGCCATACAAGCAGCACAAAAAGAATAACCAGTAGATGGCAGCTAAGAGTGACTTATTGAGATGCAATATTTTCTTAACTTCCTTAAAGTAACTTTAACCTCAAGTTATTGAAGATTCTTAGAGGACAGAGGCAGAGTATGACCCACTGAAGCTGTGAAACCAAATGAAATGGGTCATTTATATCTGAAGTGTCAGCATCATAGCAGTGTAAAATGCAATTTCCATGTAAAACTTTTCAAATGTACAGTTGATTTTAAAGGTGTTAAATAAGTCATTTAATAATTACCATAATACACTGGAATTGATAGCTTACCTTTACTTTAAGTCCCTTAAATTGCTGGGTATGTGGCAAAATCACATTGATCTATTGAAGAAATAGATCTTACAGATCATCCAATATTTTTTCAAATATAAAGGTCAATATTTTGCTAATGTGATCACTTACTGCATATTATAACAGTGCATTATTTACAAGCATTTGCAGCTTTTCTTTTAGTTTAAATTGTTGTACACAGGGAAGTATGTGTTATGGGCCAACAACCTTTTCTCAGTCTGTAACTGATTGACTGACTAACTCTCTACAAACGAGGGAGCAGGATAAGTGGATGAACATTTCTTGTCTCCATCATTAGTTTGAGCATGCATTAGTGCAGACTCCAGTGGACTCTCTCCAGTGGCCTGGCTCCTCCTGGGATCGTTTTCTGGAGTCCTGCCACAGAGTTTGTCGTCCGTGGCCCTCACTGACATTCCAACCTCAACCTCTCCTCCTGCTTAGAATGGCTTACGCTCCCAGAGTGCTACAAACAACCTCAATTCATATAAACAACTCTCAGAATTCCTTTAAGGAAGAGAAAAGCAGGCCATCTTGTGTTTTCATGGTTGCTTTGAACTCTGGATTTATGGCAAGCTGACATACCTCTTGTCTTGTGGCTCTGGAAAAGAGAAATGCCATTTAGACTGTGGTATACTGATAAGCAGTGATTTGATAATTGTACATGGGGTGAGGGAAATGAGTCATTTCAATGACCACGCAATCATTCATACCATTTTCTCTTACTGTTTAGTCCTCAATCCTCCCTTTGTTCATCTTTCCTGAAGAGGAAATTCTATTACCCAGCCAGCTGCTCAGGATATTAAAATGTTACACATAAACATCAAAATATCAGATGGAAAAAAAAAAAATTAGGCATACGTTTACCTGAAAACTTTACCTGCCATGCCTGGTTGAGAATGAACAACACTAAAGATGAGAAAAGTGCCAAAATGACGAGACGTTATGGATACTCCCTTCGCTTTCATGTGGTGATTTGTTCTGTTTGATCACTCTCTCTCGCTCTCTTTCTCTTTCTGTCCTCCAAAGTGAGTAATGAATGCTCTTACTTCACTCTCTCATGTGTTACTTATAAATCATAATTGCCTCCATGAAGCTCCACCATGCATTATAACACTCACATATAGGTCAAAATGCAAATATGCCGTCATGTATCTCACATCTCACGGGGGAGGAGCATTTTTGACAACAATATGTCCATTTCCTGCATTGTGAAACCACAGTGTATTGGCGCTCCAATAACGCACACGTACTGAAGTGGTGTTGAATAGATGAAGAAGAAGAGCAATATACTGGGAGCTTTGCATTCATTATAAACTTTTGTTGCCTTCAGACCTGTGATCAAGCTTTATGTTATGTGTAGCCACTTAAAATAGATAGATTCACAATAAATTGAACAGAGAGATGTTTTTCTGTTAAGAAATTAGTCTCCCATGGCAATTTTTGTCTAATACATTGATACATTGTCTTCAATATCCACGGTTAGTATCTGTGTGCGAAATTCCACGAAGTATCAGCTGTTGTGATCATCTATTACCCAGGCAGGCAATCCTATTGTCCTTTGCAATGTGTCAGTGTTGAAAACGGTACTAAGCTTGCTGTTTCAGGGGCCCCTGTTCTAGATACACATCATACTGGAGCCTGGTTGAAGCTCAGCAGTAAATCTTGAGCCAGTGAAGGGTCCATCCATATTTTCTCTGAGTCTAGCAAAATAAACAATCTGCTGTAGGTCTGCAGAAACCCAAAGAGGGGAGGGCTGAGGATTCTGGCAGGCTGGGGGAGGAGGGGGAGGGGGGGACATAGATCAGATTTCAGGAGCCCAGAGAGAGGTGGTGGAGAATGGAGAGAAACCTTGCTGTCAAGAGTCCAAGAAACTACAATTTAAAAGAGAAATAATATAAAAATGGTATTTCTTCCTTACCCTCTTAACTTTGTCCTTTCACATGTTTTCTTCATACAAAATGCTTGCACTACGCCCAGTATTGTGTTAGTTCTTCATCTAAACTGTAGTCCCAAAACTATTTAAATCACA